TTAACTATGATGGTGGTGACAGTGGTGATGATGGTCATAATGGGTGAAGACAGAATAATACGGTTAACATATAAACCAGACCCTAGCACTTAGCCAATGCCTTCCCATTTCAGTGTAAAAGCCGAAGTCTTTATAATGACCACACAGAATATCTATGTCCTACCTGTGACCACTGTTTCCTTTTTTGGGTTTTTTGTTTGTTTGTTTGTTTGTTTAGAGACAGAATCTCACTTTGTCACCCTCGTAGAGTGCCATGGCATGACAGCTCACAGCAACCTCAATCTCTCGGGTTTAAGCAATTCTCTTGCCTCAGCCTCCCAAGCTGGGACTACAGGTGCCTGCCATAACACCCAGCTATTTTTTGTTGTTGTTGTCATTGTTGTTTAGTGGGCCCAGGCCAGGTTTGAACCCGCCAGCCCTGATGCATGTGGCCGGCACCATAACCACTTAGCTACAGGCGCCTTTTGTTGTTTTGTTTGAGACAGATTCTCAGAGTCTCACTTTGTCCCCCTCAGTAGAGTGTTGTGGTGTCACAGCTCACAGCAACCACAGCCTCAAACTCTTGGTCTCAAGGGATTCTCTTGCCTCAGCCTCCCAAGTAGCTGGGAATACAAGTGCCTGCCATGATGCCTGGATTTTTGTAGAGAGGGGGTCTCACTCTTATTCAGGCTATTCTCAAACACCTGAGCTCAGGCAATCCACCTACTTTGTACTCCCAGAGTGTTAGGATTACAGGTGTGCCCGCCCCTGTTTACTTTTTTTTAACCACATCTCCCATTGTCTCCCTGTTCCCTCTGCTGTAGCCCCACTGGTCTTCTTGCCAATCCTTGAATATATCCATGGCCTCGAATATATTAGTCACGTTCACAGCACCTCAGCACTGGCTGTTCCCTTCTTTTCCTTGGTGTCCATAAGCAAATTTTCTCATTTCCTTCAGGCCTTTACCTGTCATTTATCCAAAATTACAATCTTTCTTTACTAATTTTTTCTTAACTTACCACTATCTAACATGCTACATGTTTCTTATCTTGTTGATTATCTGTGTTCCTCAGAACAAAGGCCCCATGAGGGCAGATATTTTTGTTTTGTTCCCACCATGTGGAACAGTGCTTGGCATGGATGGAGGGGAGGATGGATGGATAGATGGATGGATGGATGGATGGATGACCAGATGGCTGAGTAGAGGAACCATTGGATGCTATGAGAGTCTATTAGAGGAGACTTGACCTGGATTTGGTGGGAGGAGGACTGGATATCAGGAAGGATAATGTCAGGGATATTCTCTAATATCTTGTAATTTACACTGCAGCCCATGGCAGCATTTACATCACATGGGAAACATCATGTTAGCATTGCAGAATCTCAGGCCCCGCCCCAGACCTGCCGAATCAGAATCTCATCTTAACAACATTTGATCAATGTGACATTAAAGCGTGCACATCAAGGCTCTGGTCTAGGGAACGTGGCGTGGCGTGTGTGCAGAAGTGCCTGGGACCAGGAGGGAGAGGGAGACAAAGAGAGGGAATGGCATCTGGACAGGGCCAGAGGCCACAGAACATGTAGCAAACTGCAGGACCAGAAAGAGCATCAGAGCGGTTGGAATGTAGACATAGAACACGAGGGTAAGAATGGTAAACGCAAGGAGAAAAGTAGAGGTGCGTTGACACATGGGCTTGTCAACTGTGTAAAGGAGTCTAGACTTTATTCTGAGGGCAGATGGGAATCAAAATAAAATCTAAGAATGAGCAGCCAGAAAGTCGGAGAAAAATCAAAGAAGGACAGTGTCTGCCAGAGGAAAAGAACATTTCAAGAAGGCAGGTATCAAGGGTTTCAAAAACTATCAAGAAAGGTGAGGAAACAGTTTTTAGTGGAGTGGTGAAGATGGAAGGCAATATGGAAACATTTGAATAAATAAGAGGTTAAAAAAAAAAGAGGAGGTGGCTAATGGAACCACAACCACAGATTGGCTTTCGATTGTCTCGAGCAAGAATAGGTCAGGAGGGGCGGGGTGAACTAATTTCCTTGGAGGGGAAAGAAACCCAAAGGCAAGGTAGAGCTAGTTTTGTAAAAGGACATTTTCAAACTTGCGCTTATAATTGTAGTTATGCAATTATAAGGTATATAAATGAAGTTTTGGCATCAGAGGACCCACATAAGGGGTTTGCCCTCTCGAAAATAGTTACCACTAATAGTTAATTTAAATCCACGTGGGCAATGAGGTCATCAGATCAGCTGTTTTCAGTGGATTTAGCAAATCCTCCAATTATTCCTTTGCCAGGAGACAGTTATATATTGTTTAAAATTGCAGATATGTGCCTTGCAAATACGCGTTTCAATCTTTTATCTTGTGGACGTGCTTAGCTACTCTGAACTCTGCATTGATCTTTTCCTTTCCAAGCCCATCCTGTACTCTTTTCCAATAATGAGCATCCTTTTATGTCTTGTTCTCTGTGTCCTGGAGGGAAGAAAATAGAGCCACCTGCAATGGATCTGCTTCCCAGATGGATCGAGTGCGTTTTCCCAGACCATCAGTCTCTAAAATAACTGATCAAATGAGTAAAAAAACATTGAAAAAGGTAATCTGTCTCACATGTCACTGTGCTAAATAAAAGGAAAAAAAGAGAAGGAAAAAGAAAAACCATACGCTGTAGCATGCCAATTAAAAGGCATGTGGTTGGCTCGGTGCCCGTAGCTCAGCAGGTAGGGTGCCGGCCACATATACCGAGGCTGACGGGTTTGAACCTGGCCTGGGCCTGCTAAACAACAATGACAACTGCAACAACAACAAAAAAATAGCCAGCTGTCGTGGTGGGCACCTGTAGTTCCAGCTACTTGGGAGGCTGAGGCAAGAGAATCTCTTAAGCCCAAGAGTTGGAGGTTGCTGTGAGCTGTGATGCCATGGCAGTCTACGGGAGGCTACAAAGTAAGACTCTGTCTCAAAAAATAAAAAGAAATCATGTGATTTAGCCCTTAAGATTATGTTATTCAGAATATATTTATCATCTATAAATGTATAAACCAAATTGTTCCATAAGCTGTAAGGACAGAAAACCACCAACCCTGCCTTGGAGGAGCTTACACTTGGTTGAGAAATCACTGAGCCTATCTTTTGAGGACTTCCCATATGAGATCAAAAATAATAGCAACAGTCACCTAAACAATGTTAATATCGGCTTGGCGCCTGTAACTCAGCGGTTAGGGCACCAGCCAGATACACTGAAGCTGGCAGCTTCGAACCTGGTCCAGGCCTGCCAAAGAACAATGACAACTACAACCACAAAATAGCCGGGCACCGTGGCAGGTGCCCGTAGACTCAGCTACTTGTGAGGCTGAGGCAAAAGAATCACTTGAGCCCAAGAGTTAGAGGCTGCTGTGAGCTGTGATGCCACTGCACACTATGGAGGGTGACATAGTGAGACTCTGTTTCAAAAAACAAAACGAACAAAATAATGTTAATATCTAAATTCATTTTTCTGTGCACAAGTGTTTGCTGGACATTGCTGAGGATACAAGGATGTAGTAAACGTTTTTTGTTTCATTTGTTTTCCTGAGTTGAACACAGGTTAACAACTCAAACTCGGACGTCCCTTGGAAAGCCAGTTTCTTCAGTGCTGCCAGAGCGCAACCTTCCGACACCTGTTCTAACATGCCTAAGATCAGGGATGTTGAAACCACCTTTACAAACTGATGAAAGGGGTGTAAAGCAGAAACTAAAGTAAGGGCCCCAAAACTCTGTGAAGGAACAGGCTCAGCTGAAATCATCAGCCACTGTCCCCTCTTTTGCTTGGTAATAGCCACACTCCCCTTGTTTGCTTTTCTGTAATTGCTACGCTAGAGGGCGCTGCTGGTAGTTGTAAAGATTCTTAACTTTTCTCTAAAGATACAACATCACCTGTTTAGGACGTTGGAGTGGTTTTTTGAGATAACTTTTCAGGATTATCGAACCACCCAGACCAAGAAACTGACTCAGCTGGTCTTGGACACCTCAGCCAAGGAACTACATTCCAGTGGATTTTCTGACCCATCCAGACAACAGCCCCTACCAAAGGACTGCTGATTCCACCCTGAAACCAGCCAGTCAGCAGCCCCTGACTGCCAAGGCTCTGCTCACCAAAATGCATCAGGAAAAAACAAAACAAAACAAAACACTTCTCCCCCCAGTTCTCAGGGAGGCTGATTTGAGAAATTCCTCCCGCCGTCCCGCTGAGCACTGTGTGGGATAAACTCTTCCTCTGCTGTAACCTGCCATCTGTGGGTATTGGCTTCCTCTTGGGCAGCAGGCAGACGAATCTGGTCCTGCGGCAGCAATGTGGCTGGTGCCTGTTTCATCCCATGGACGGCACCAGCTCGCGTTCTCCAGACCAGTGCTGAGTTAGACCACCAATAAAACAACTTATCAGACCAAATAATTTTTTAAGAACTTTCTTTCATGGTTGGTATAGTATTGATCATGCGATTATTTTTAAACCAATTGGAACTTAGAAGTAGCCAGATTAGTATTTTCTCCAAAAAGAAAAATCTTTAAAACTGGACAGACTCTCGTGGTCTCTCAGATCCTCTCAAACCTTCTAAATTCCAGTTATCAAAGGAAAAATTCCAGCCAATATACCATTTGGCTCTTAAAAGAATGAGGGACTTAAAAGCCCATTCTTACTATTACTTAAGCCCTAGGAATCAGAGGAAACAATGCTTGTTACTGCTGGGTGACTGGTGGGTTGTACCTTTTTCATAGGCCTGAGAAGGCAAAATGTTAGTAAAGTCCTCACTTGGAAGAACAGGCTCGGGGATGTTGATGGAGCGGAAAGGACTGCCTTGCGCTTGTGCAGGCCCCACCTGCGAGCTGTGTTCTTCTTTCTGAGTTTTCCTAGGAAAGGGAAACAAAGACAAGGCCAGTTTAGATCTCAATACCTGAGAAGTGAGGAGGAGATTCTGTTCAGGACAACTCAAGAAAATGTCTGAATTATTAGGTCGAACCACATAAAGTGCTGTTTTTTGTAAATTAAAAATGGTCCAATACTAGCAACCCACATGGTTGAACTTACTGCATCACCTAAGCTGGAGAAAAGACTTCAGATATCTACAATTCACCCTCTTTTTTTTTTTTTTGAGACAGAGCCTCAAGCTATTGGCCTGGGTAGAGTGCTGTGGCATCACAGCTCACAGCAACCTCCAACTCCTGGGCTCAAGCAAGTCTTCTGCCTCTGCCCCCCAAGTAGCTGGGAC